TTTCAGGCACTGGTAGAGATTGGAAATGGGTGAGATTTATGAGAGTGCCCCTTACAAACAATTAATACGGAAAGGATTTGTTTGTGCATGTGAGAGGGCTCAGTCAGCACCACCCATCAGCTGTCCTGGGAATTAGCTCCTTCTGGCCAGCAGGGTGCCTTCCCTTGGGTGGTATCTCCCCTCTTCCCTCCAGACCACGGCAGCCTCTTCAGGACACTGCCCCCCAGCAGTGCCCATATCAGTCTCTGAGCCCCCCCACCCCCTTCCGGCCCGGCAGTACCCAAGTCCGTCTGAGCCCCCCTTCTGGGGGTTGTTGTTTCTCCACCAGGCCATCATGCAGGCCTTGCAGCCTGGGGGTTTGCTCGGCCAGAGCTCCCCTAGCCTAGCCTAGCCTAGCCTAGCCTAGCCTCGCCTCGCCTCGCCTCGCCAGCACTGTTCTACCTCTAGAGAACCTCCTACTCCCCCAGCAGCCAGACTCTCCCTGCTCTTCCCTGGGAGTAGCAGCCCATCCTCTTATATAGCTCCCAGCTGGGCTCTAATCAGCTAAGGCCTCAGCTGGGGCTAAACTCCCAGGCCCTGCTCCGGGCTGGGGTTTGCCCTTAAAGGGCCAGTGCCGGGCAAGCGCCTTGTCACAGTGCATTCCCAGCAGACAATAAGTGAAGGCTTTGTGGATTTTTTTAATGGATATGCATTGAAAAAAATCCCAGTGAGTGTAAATTGCTGAACGTGCGTGTAAGCAACTTCACAGCCTAAATCCTAGTCTCAATAGTGACCTAGAGAGCAGTTGGGCAAGTCCCACTGTCTTTCAATGAGCCTTGAGCCCCCAAGAATGTAAATAACATTTAGAACATTGGCCATAGGCTCATCAATCCTGACTCCTGTATGTGCTTTTGAAAATGTGAGCCTGTGCCTCTCGTCAGGCTTCTACTCATGACAGAGTGGAGTCTGCCTCTGATAAATATCTCCACAGAGAACTTCTCACTATGGCGGCCTATCTTTTCAAATGCGGCCATTCATCTACATGAGCAATTTGAGAGCCTTCGGGTCGCTCCTTTGTTCGGAAAGAACTGCCATGCAGTTAAAGCACTAAGCTGCACCTCAGGGGGTCTGGATTCCACTGCTGAATTTTCTGCATTTATGCCCCAGTAATGCTGACTTGTCTGTGCCTCAGTTTACCAATCTGTAAATTGGGAGGATTTTTTTGCATATTCCTTGGTTTGTCTTTTCTCTTTAGACTCTAGGGCTACATCTACACTGCAGGCTTCTTGTGCAAGAACTGTTTTGCGCAAGAGTTCTTGCATAAAAAGTCTCATGCAAGGGTGCATCCACACTGCCATGTGCTTTTGCACAAGAGTGTCCATGGCAGTGTGGACACGCTTTTGTGCAAGAGAGCTCTGATGGCTATCCACACTGCCTTCTTGCACAAGAGGGCTTATTTCTTGTCTGGAAAGGAATAAATCTTGCACAAGAAGCCCTCTGTTCCAATGCCTTACTGTAAATTTACTTGTGCAAGAATGTGTGTGCAGTGTAGACACTCTGCACATTTTTGTGCAAGAACAACTGTTCTTGCACAAGAAGCCTTCAGTGTAGACAGGGCGGACACTGTCTCCCACTGTGTGTTTGTGAATTGCCTCATACAATGGGGCTCAAATCTCAGCTGGGAGAAACTGGAGCGAAGGGACATGATAATAATTTTGCTTCCAATATTCTCCTCAGCCTATGTGCATAGAGTTTCCTGTGGCACCTTTCACTGAAAATGTCAAAACAAAGATGCAATGTAGAGATACGAGAGGAGAAATTTCCCCCTTCAAAGCTTGGCTTAATATAAAGAAGGAGAACTGTAAAGAGTACATACTAATAAACATTGGCCTTTTGAGTCCTTTAAGCTTTTAGCAAGCTAATACGATTTTTAATTGCCATTGGATCACAACAAAGAGAGAGAGATGTAAACAGGGATTTTCTAAGACTTAGAACCCACAGGGAGTCTGTGAGCTTCTTCTAGACTCAATGGCTCTTAGCACCCGTTCGTAAAGAAATGCACTGGGTTACCTTGAGAGCGATGTAATGTAGGGAACAAAAGTTTACAGGCAGTTCCTTGTGAAACATCAGGACTTTATTACCTACCCTTCATAGAACTTTCTCAGAGGAAGGGAGGGTAGACCAGGTAAGGCCTGTTACCGACTGTCTCTCAGCAAACACTGGGCAAATACAGGAGTCTTTCCATTGACAATCAATGGACTTTGGAGTCAAGCCCAAAGACCATCGGAGCAGAAACCTCTTTGAGAACTTTAAGAAGAATTGTAAGGAACATTCTCAGGCTGAAATCAATCTTTTAATGGCAGAGACCATGGCTCCTGTCTCTTGCGGGGTCCAAAGCACAGTACTCCATGCTTAACAAATACTGATATCAAAGTGCGGCACAGCAGAGCCCACTAGATTCTGTGCAGAATTTCGAAAGAAATACAAAATATTCCTCTTTCGAGGAATCCTTTTTTGCTGATTGTTTTTCTGATTATTAATGAAACAAAAACTGCAAGGAAAACAATGGTTTTCAGTCCCCTTTCCTTACTGGAACATCTTTCTTTTCCTTACTGGAAAATGGAGAGAAGGAGAGAGTACTGGTTTTTGGTTTTTCATTAAAAAACAGTCAACAACATATGGGTGAAATGAAAATGTGCTTGTGAAATTTTCATTTCAGGGGAAAAACATTTTTTATTAAGAAAAAAAATATTAAGGAAAATATTTTGACCAGCATAATTCTGCATCCTCAAACTGTCCACATGTGACCTGTGCATTTGTGAAAAGGGTCTGGATGGTTTCCTAAAACCTGGTCTACGCTAGGGCCTTAGTCCGAAATAAACCCCCTGTAGTAAGATGTAGGCCTATAACATAAGCCAATGCAACACAGGCCTGGTCTGAGGCCAGAGGCCTAGCTAACTATGGACAAAACATGGCTAACATAAAGCAGAGCTGAACTATGAGCAAGAGGCAGGCCCCTGCTCACAGAACATGGCATGAACAGGGCTGAGAGTGCAAAACACTAATTGGTGCTAGATACCAACTGCAGAACAATAATTGGTACCAGTCATAAGTGGAAAGCAGATGGTACCACTAGCTCATTAAAAAAGACCTTGGTACCCACTCTGCACAGATACCGACTCAAGTGTAGGAAAGGGTAAAAAATGACAGCATGATGGCTAGAGATGAGCTAATCAAACCACGAGATACAGGGTGATGGGTGGTATCTAACTAGCATCAGAGAATGGCAATCTGATACGTCAGCAGCAATGTGTGACTTGTTTATACCTGTATATAAAGTGGTGTCTTGGGGGGATAGTCTTTGTATGACCTAGGGGGGCAGTGGAAATTTCCCACTGATTGAATTTGTAAGTGATGCATCCACACTACCAAGCCCGTTATTCCCGAATAAGGGGCCATGGAATTCGAACTCTATAGTCCTGCTTTTCATGAAGAATAACACTAAGCCCAAACTTGTAAGTCCAAAATAACATTAGTGCGGACACTCCGGTGCTGCTAATGCAAACTAATTGGCCTCTGGGAGGCCTCCCACAGCTCCCGAAAGCACTTCCTCAGGCTCTGAGTCCAAGGTGGCTCATCCACCTTAACGGAGCCTGCATCAGCCTACGTTTGATTTTTTCCCACAGTGAGGACAGGCAAATTCGAATTGGTAAAATCAGGTGCCCAGAAGTTGAACTTAGTAAATTTGAAATGGTCTCCTAGTGTGGACATGACCTAAGTGACACTCTGGGTATGTCTAGTCTGTGTGGTTTTTTGGGGGAGGGATACTGGAGGGATACGGGATACTTTATCAGAGATGGTCTAATCAGTACTTGGTCCAGCCATGACGGCAGGGGACTGGACTCGATGACCTCTCGAGGTCCCTTCCAGTCCTAGTATTCTACCATTCTATCCAGGGAATGCATTTGCTCTTCCACTTTTTTTGAGGAAGAGCAGATGTGCTCTTTCGGAAGCCCCGTCTTCCTCATTCCAGGAGGAAGCAGAGATCTTCCAAAAAACGATGTTTTTCCAACATTTGGCCCAATGTAGATGGGCCAAATTTCGGAAAAGCCTCTTCCGACATAAATTGCGGAGCGCAATTTGTGTACCTTCTTCTGAAAAAACATCGGAGTGTAGACATAGCCTAAATGACAATTCTCCCTACCTATTGGTAGGGACACTGACCAGTGGAATTAGCCAGGAGTATCTTCTTGTGTTATGGATTTTACTCTTTGGGGTAAAATCCCTGACTGGGATGTTTTTTGTTTATATTGTGTGATATTTTTGTTTGCTTGTTCCAATTTGGGGGGGGGGGGGGGTTAGGGAGGGAAGAGGACCTTCTGGCTACGTCTGGACTACAAAGGTAAGTCAGAAAAAGACATGTCTTTTTCCTCTTTTCTGTCAAGAGAGGCTTTTCCGAAATTTGGCGCATCTACATGCCTTGTAAGGTTTACAGGGATGGCAAAAGAACACATCCACTTTTTAAATTTTTTTTCCAAAAAAGCGGATGTGATCTTTGGGCGCGGCATTTTTTTTCTGGTATCCTGGAAAAGCGCTGCAATCTAGATGTAGCCTGTCTAGAAACAGAATCAACAGGGAAGGCAAAAGGATCTTAGTTGCTTTTAAGACTCATATTCCACCATCCAGATTCCACCTTTAATACAAACCTTTAAAACAAACAGGCGCAATTTTTTTCCTATAAATTGTTTTTTATTTAAAATTTAAAACCATATTACCTCATACAGCAAACTGTGCACTTTGATATATCACAGTGTCTTAAAAAGGAAAATAATCAGAATTTTTTTCTTTTTTTTTTTCCTGGAAATTTTATTTACATCAGCCTAGAATGATCAGCAAGTAACACAGTTACTATGAAACCAAAATTGTTACAAAATGTTTACAAAAAACTATATTCATAGAAATTCTGCATGTCCACAAAGGAAAATCCCCTGAATGTCACGGAGACCAGTTTTTTGTTTTTCTTTTTTTTTTGAGAAACATGTCAAAGAAAATTATAGACAGCAAAGGGCATTCTACAACAATGCTCAGAAATCTGTATCATCCAGGCAGACTGGCTTTAACTTGCAAGGCCCAGTCATAGCTTTCCAGAGCAAGGGAGCTGTGATTGAACCAAAAAACATGTTATGTATGGTTCAACCTGGTCTCCCACAGTAGATTGGCACATAACACATGGCTCCAACTTTGTGAGATCAGGAATGCTGCATAATGACTTCCTAGTGCTGTCATTCACATGCCAAAACTGTGCTGAAGTCTGCGAAAGGGAAAAATACTGGGGCTCTACCCTGGCAAGCAACCTCTACCATGGAAACATACTATAGCATTTCTGACCCAACCCCAGCACTGAGAGAACAATAACTATCTTGAAACATATCCCACCTTCCCCCTTTGCATATTCAATCTCTTGATGAATGGGTAGGCTGAGTGTTAGGTGCTGGAAATTTACATTTGAAATTAGCCAAAACAAAACAAACAAACAAATAAAATAAATAAATTACCCAATTTTTATCATACAAACAGTTTGGGAGTTTTTAGCCAGGGCAAAACCCTAAATCAACCCATCCTTGGATTACTTCATTGGTCTTACAAGAGACTCAGAAAGAGAAATCAAATATTGTAAGAGTGATAATGAACTAAACCAGCAGCATTTTATATCAACTTTTTTCCATACCTTCTCCCACCCCCAAAATGTGTGTTCTTGATTTCTATGCAGTGGACGTTAATTACTTTGTGACGTGTATTTAAGAAACATGTACAAGAATGTGTGGGTATGGGTGAAAATGATTTGCAAAGGATTTTTCGTTTGCATTAAATTTTCTACCCATCCCATTTCCTTTCAAATGTGTCTTTAGCGCCTACTTCACAACTTCCTCACAGTCGGAGAGGACACGGTGCAACGCCCAACGACACGATGCACCCCACCGATTAGTGGGGGCAAGGGCATCGATTCTTATCTCAGCTATACCAATGGTAAAGGCAGACAACCTTGAAAGCAACGCTACTCAGATTTCCACCAGTACAACAGAGATTAGAAAGGATATTGCCCCTTTCCTAAATTTTGGTTGAAATGACCACTTTAATGTCAGGGAACTCGCCTCCCCCTAAAATAAAGGTAACGGGCTGTCTCCTCAGCTGGTGTAAATTGGTGACATTCTTTGAAATCAAGAGCAAAACTGGTTTACACTGGCTGGGAATTTGACCCAGTATCTGTAGCTCAAAGAAGGGAATTGGGATTAATCAGTAACCATGAGGTGCAGCCAGGGCATTCGGAGGAGCCTGAAATTGCAAGCTGCTAAACCAAATGAGCAGAGCCGGGTTTCTACAGTTGCCATCCAGGCTCCACGGACTGCCTCTGGCCCTACCTAAGATCTCTTTGTGTTGGGGTGGGCCGAGGAGACAAGCAGACTTCTAACCTGCCTGTGCATCCTGTGGTTTTTGTGGATCATTGCCAGGTGGCACTAGAAAAATATGATGGCCTTCTGAGATTATATACATATTTAAAAAAACCTTTGTGTCTTGGATACTTTTACACTATATACTTTTTAGGCGTGTGTGCATGTCTGTCTCTCGCTATATAATGAGAGGAGAGCTGATGGGAGGATACGTTGTGGGATGATACAGACGTGGGTGGGTAGGACGGACCTCACCGGCGAGGAAACCTCCTTGGCACCTCGGCAGCCGAGCCTAGGAGAATCTGCTCTGGAGGCGGGGAACAGCGGGCGAGGAGATGAAGTCTGCAATGCTGCTGTGCGGGGTGGGGATTACAGGAGAGGTTCCACCTCCCCGTCCACTTTTCAACAATTAGAGATTAACTAACGTATATCTCTCTGCATCCCACACCACCCCTTTGCTATTTACACACGCCCCCTCGACCACAGGCACACAGGAAGGATTTTCAGGGCTTCTTGCGGTTCTGCTGTCCAGTCTGTTGCTAATCTGCACACCCATGTGTGTGGCTTCTGGCTATTGCTTCCTCATGCCACCAGGATTTCCAGCCCGGCGGAACAGTTGCTCTCTGCAGAATATGGACACTGCTTTCATACTCAGGATGTCAAACATTTAGAAGCATGAAATGGGGCTATTCTGTCCTGGCCAATTTCCCGTAATTGTGGAAATAGCAGCAAAAAGGCTAATCTACAGGGACTTTTCCTTGCTGGTAGCAAGGACTGGTAATTCCATAGGGTCTCCTGGAAATGTGGGACACCAGTGACAGAAACTCACTCATTGCAGTGATTGTGATAAGTAAAGGGGGTTGGTTAAGTTTACTTTTTTCTAAATAATCTCCTAAGGAGTGAAATGGCTGCTATTTAATACAACCTCTTGTTATTCATCACCTGCTGGAGCATTTCAAGGAGGGGGGGACATAGGGGAGCGCTGTTGTTTTTTAGTTTTTAATCCAGCAGGATTTCTGCTTTGCTTTTAACTTCCCCTTGATCCTGACATCTATTTCTAAGATCTTGAAAAGCCCAGGAGAAAGTCTAAAAGGCGCCTGTCTTAACTGCCTCCAAAGGTGCAAAGAGATGGAGAAAGTAAACAATTAGAGCTGGGAGAGGGAGATACTTTTTCCACCCCACCTTCTGCTCTTGGTACCTTTCTTCATTTATTAGTGACAAAGGGGATGCTACTGTTGGGATCCAACCTCTTTAGATCAAAACTTGAATTAGAAGCCAGCCATGTTTTGAAAGTCAGAGGTCTAAATTCAGCGGGAGTGAGGCTGGGAATCAAGGGCGCCATTTTGGGCGCTTCTGCGGGGCAGCAGTGCGCTCCAGGATGCGACTAGCTTTTCATCCCGTTCCCTGGATTCTAAGGGAGTGAGGGGAAAGAGCTTGCACTCTGTGCATTCCTCTCACACCTGGCCCGTGAGCTCCTTTCATGCGCAGAATGCGGGCACTTTCCCTTCACTCCCTTAGCGTCCGGGAAATGGGATGAAAAGCTAGCCACGTCCTGGAGCACACGGCTGCTGCCCCCGCCCCCGCCTCCCACACATGCCTGAAATGGCGCTCTTGCTGGGAATGATGATAGATGTTGGTTAAGAGGTGGCCAGGGAAAAATGGCTACATCACCCTATCCTGTCACAGTGAAAGGGTGCTGCTTTCTGGGAGTCCGCAGCCAGAGAATTGCTCTCGGGATGGTGTTTCCTTCTCTGATGGAGGCTGGCATACAACCTGCACCTCACTTATGTCCCCCTTGGATCCTCTACTGCCTGGTTTGAGGGTCAAAGTGGGACTTAGATGGTGCATGGCAAAGCACAGGGGTGAATTTCACCCTTGGTCACTAAACTTGCAAGAATGTGACACGCACAGTAAATTTCACCTCCAGCTTTCCATAGCATTTAGGAAAAGAAAAGGTGAGAATAGTGGTGAATTCTCTGCCGAATGGCTAATTTTGATCAGGGTCAGATGCAAGCAAACGTACACATGGATTTCAAGATAAAACATTGCCTTTTTCCTTGGAGGGAACAGACCAAACCACAGGATGTTCTCTGGTGAAAAACAGCCAGCATTCTCCCCGGAGCAAATGTGCTAATTCACCCTGAACTCCACCACCCTGACAACTAAACGAAAGAAAGAAAGAAAGAAAGAAAGAAAGAAAGAAAGAAAGAAAGAAAGAAAGAAAGAAAGAAAGAAAGAAAGAAAGAAAGAAAGAAAGAAAGAAAGCGCAAAAATTGTAATGTGCCTGAGACTGCAACTTCAAACAGATTTGTTCTTTTGAGGGTCAGGAAAAGTCTCTAAAAATGTCTCTAAATAAGAACATGAAAAATTGGATTAGTTTAGCAACTGACTCCTGCTGCAGCCACAAAACCTTCCTAAGTTCACACGATGTAGGGTGAGATTTACCCCGTGAAGAGACCAAGCACAAGGCATTACTTAAAGCCCTGCTAAAGCCCTCAAAATAGGACTTAAGTGGTGCATAAGCTTCGTGTTGTCCCTGTATGTGGGAGGGAACATTAGCCTTGAGGATTACCCTCTGCTCTGGAGGGAGAGAATGGAAGGTGCAGTGAGTTCCTGTGGCAGATCTCTAGCGAGGTGGCATTAAAAGAGGAGGCTGAGCACTGTTCTCCCCCACCCTAAATCCTCCCCATAATCAGGCAGCGTCAAATCCCGGAACTCGTATTTTCAGCACATTCATCACAACGTTTTGGAAAAGTCTCTCTGCCCGGTCCTGCCTATCCTTGGGTCTGCAAAGGGCCAGGAAGGAAATACGCCAGTGAGATGTCACATTGAACGCTGCTAGGAGCTGCTCAGAGGGGCTGGGGGGGCAGAAAGAAAAAAAAACCCCTTAAGCACTCAGCCCACACGTCTTTGGTAATTCTGACTGAATGCATCTGTGAGACCAGTCTTATGGGACAAGCTCCCCCTCTCCTCCTCTCCCGGGTTGCTGCTAAAGATCCAAAGTGCTTTTCACAGAGAATGTTTGAAAGGGAAGTTTCTTGTAAGTTTGGTGGCTTTTTGGTTTTTTTTTGGAAGAGTCGAATGACAATGCGGTTGTGTGGTCGGATAGCGAGTGCGTTGGGAGAGCAACAGTGAGTGCCACAGTCTGGCTCCTCTAGGGGGCTGTTTGACCCACGATCTCCTTTGCAACTCAGGGATGTCCCACAAAACCTCCGAATTAAACACTAAGTTAAACCAAACAAGCAACCCGGCCCACCCTGCCTGTCAGGAATATGAAGCAGATGCAGCTGTAACTCACCACCATCAAACTTGAGGGAGTTAGTAACATTTGGTGTGTCTGCATTGCAATGTAAGCCCAGGGTTTGAACTCAGATTCAAGCCTAAACCCAGTGTTTGTCTACATACAAGCCACATTAACCCAGGTCTTTGACCAGGACCTCAGGAAGGGTCCAAGCCTGAATCAAGGTGGGACTCAGGGGTCCACAGTTGCTTTGTAGTATAGATGCAGCCTCACTGGACATGCATTCTGGGAGTCTGCCAGCCATATCCCACAGTTCCATGGGCTGGCTTTCTTTGTCCTCTGGTCAGTTGAGTTTTCCCACACTGCACCACAAACAAATGGCTAGAATGGTTGCATTGTAGGGGCCAGGGATACAGGGGGCTGCTAAGAAGTTTGGGATATGGGGGGTTGGACTCGATCCCACATAATGCTTGTAGATACTGCAGCCCCAGACTGGAACTCAAAGTGCAAGAATTCCTAACTGGGGGTAACAAACAAGTGTAGACACTCAAGCCCTAGGTGAACAAACCCAGGGTCTGCTAACTCGAGTTCTACTAAACCTGGGCTTACACTGCTGGCGTAGACCAACCCATTAGCTTCCCAGAAGCAGCTCCCTCACTTTCCTTTCTTGTTAATGCTGAAGTCTAAACATTTGTCTAGAGAACATGGCCTTCCTACAGGCTGGGAAGGAGCTGGTTGTAAATAAGATCTCAATCCCACTTGGGCAGTACAGGGGGAACCGGCACCCTGGGATTTTGTTTTTTGTTTCCAGATGGCAGCCGTTTTTGGCACACTACCTACATCCCCTGCCCTGTGTCTGGGAGCACGTTGAAGATCGCTCACCCCTTCTCAGCTAGTTGTCTGACTCCGCTGGATTTCCACACCCCTTTTCACAGCACACGTCCACGTGGACTTCCCGCTCTCGACGACAAGAAGCCAGCACAGCATTGAGGTAAGAGGTCATGGTGGACTGCTTCAAGAGAAGGCACGAGCCTTGACAATCATTTTATTTATTTATATTTTTCTCCCTTCCCGGTCATTCTCTTCTAAATGTGCTGCGTACGCCAGTTTGGAATAGATGCACATGTGGCCTGTCGTTCACTCCACAGCTGTAATATACTCACAAAATGTTTCTTTTTTTTTATTGCCATGCTAAAGGAAGCCTGGGGTTTCGGGGAAGGCGGGGGAGGGGGTTCCTTATCATCCACTAAGAGTCAGTCCAGCTTGATTCTCGCTTGCCTCCATGTGTGTTCAATATGTAAACATCAGACTCCTGGATGTGTAGTGGGTGTGGACTCCATGAGGCTTAAAGGATCTAAGCCTTTAAAAAAAATGAAACCAGGTTACAGTCCATGCTTTCAAGTTCCCGTTTCTGTTCAGGCGACTGATGGAGTTGTGGACAAGGCCTTGTTCTTGAAACTGAACCAAACCAGGATATTTATCCCTTCCTCCCTAGCAGAGAGAGCATCCAACCCCGTCTCCAGCAATTCCCTCCCTCGACCCCACCCCCTGATTTCCTATGGAAACACAGGTGTCAGCCCAGTGTTGCACGTCATGTTATCCTTCCCTGGTAGCCGTCTGTCGTTGAACGTGTGCATGTTGATCACGGCGTCCGTCTTCACCATGAGGGGTGGCTGGGCTTTGTGTTTCACCCTCCGCTGGCAGGTGAGCGACAGTCGGATCTCGTCGGCCATGGCACTGCAGAAGGAGCGCTGCAGAAGTGTGGAGGCAAAGGGTTTTGTAACCAGCCACACAGAGGGGTAGCATGCAAACAATCATGAGGAGGGGTCTGGAACACATGACAGAGGCTGAGGGATCTGGGCTTGTTTAGTCTACAGAAGAGAAGAGTGTGGGGTGGGGGGGTTGAGAGCAGCCTTCAACTATCTGAAGGGGGGTTCCAAAGAGGATGGAGAGAGGCTGTTCTCAGTAGTGACGGATGGCAGAACAAGGGGTAATGGTCTCAAGTTGCAGTGGGGAAGGTCTAGGTTGGATATTAGGAAAAACTATTTTACTAGGAGGATGGTGAAGCACTGGGCTGGGTTCCCTAGGGAGGTGGAATCTCCATCGTGAGGTTTTTAAGTCCCGGCTGACAAAGCCCTGGCTGGGATGATTGAGATGGGGTTGGTCCTGCTTTGAGCAGAGGTTTGGACTTGATGACCTCCTGAGGTCTCTTCCTAACCTAGGATTCTATAATTCTATGCTTCTTATGCCCCATTCTGCACAGGGCTGCAGAGGCCCCTATGCACACGAGTGAGCTTTTCCTGTCAATGTATTGAGACTGGCTACCAATGAAATGTAAATTCCTGCAAGGAAGTGCAGAGGCTTCCCCTGATGCCAGGGAGTCCGAATGCCGTGGTCCTCATGCACACGCTGTGGCATGCTGAGTATCACACGACGGCTGCAGACTGACCTAGGCTGGCGGGTTTTCTGGGTTTGGCTTATGTCGAATCACTTCAGTCTCGGATCACAGACGTTATACACCTGCTCGGTTTGGATGCTACGCGGAACCTCGCTGTATACATAGCACCAGGCAAAAATGTACAAGAGGCATAAATGCTCCTTCATCAAGAGCATACGGGCACCACGAAAGAAGATTCCATTGAAAAATAGTGCATGAAGGGTTAATAAAGGAAGGCTAGTGCGTGGAATATTATGCCGGGACCGTTTTTTGTCCAGCCCATTGCCTTAGCATGGCAGGACAATGTTTAGTGCCTCCTTTCAAGCGCTCAGAGTTGCAGCTCACCAAGCACATTTGGTGGCCGGGTGTCATGTTTCCCTGGGAGATGCATATCGCATCAGATATAGAGGAGCTCCCTGCAAGTCACTGGCCTTCTTGCTTCCCCCATCCCCATGCATTTTCCACCCTCAGCATCTGGCCATGCCTTGCCTAAGACGGGGATAGACCCTCATCCCCTTCCTGGAGGCAACATCCAAATGGAGGACTTGGTTAGGACATCCACGTCACACTGTAAATCCTACCCCAGGGCATTATTTTATCCCTGCTCTGGGCTGCCAGGACTCTTCCCCAGCTGGCGAGGCTGAGAAGCGCTCAGGGCTCTGACATGCCCAGCATCTTCCTGACCATGCTTCAGGCGGTCTGTCTGAACTGGGCGCACCCCAGGAGACCCCTGCGAGAGGCCACCCTGGGACCCCGGCGAGGCTTGAGAGCCTGCAGGGACAGGGATGGGAGACCGGCCGTGCCGATACCTGCTCACGCTCTGCTGTTTGGAGCAGCTTGTAGATGAACTCGACCATGGCCACGAAGACCGAAAGCACCAAGCCCGCTGCTAGGACAATGAAAATCCCGCCGATGTTTTGGATCCCCAGAGCGCTGGCCTCCTTGCTCTCCTCCTCAGGGCAGCCATTCCCTCGCCACCATTTCTCTTTCATAATGTGCAGCTTGTCTTCCTCTTGGAGTTGGAGAATGGCAATGGTGATCTTATCCCGGTACGGCGACCCTGCGGGGGAAGGAAGGGGATGCAGTTACACACGCAGGGAGGAAGGAGGACAAAAGCCGCTGAGTGTAGGCAGCGTGTCTGTTTAAGCAGGGCTGTGCAGATACTCCTGAGGGTTTTATTCAGAAATACATGGCTGGGAGTGATTAGCTCAATGCCAGCTGCTGTGTTTATACCAACCAGCCCTGCTCCAGGCTGTGTAGGCAAATTGCACCATTGTCACTTACCCATGGGAGTTCCGATCCCGTAGCCTTTGGAATCAATCAGCCCTCCAATCTGGGTCAAGTTGCAGTTCCTTTGTGTGATATATTCAATAGTGGTTGACTCCATTAGCAGGGCATATTCTGCAGTAAGGGCTCGCTGGATTCCTTCCTCGTTATTTTTAACGAGTGCTGATGGCTTGCTGCTCATGAACGCCCACATCTTTTCAAAAGTGGAAATTTTGGATTTCTGAAAGGACAACAAGTCCCCTCCCCCCCGGAAATGAATTAGTCTTTTTTTTCTTTGCTACTAAACAGTGTCTGGACATTTGCAAATTGTAGCAATGATACCAATAAAGTTAAAGCCATAGAAGAGAGAGAAAAAATGTACAAGAATGTGAATGGCAGATTTGTGAAAGCCTGTTGGTTAATGTCTGCATCCTTCTAGTTAAAGGAAAACCAGAGTAACGTTGAGGTTGTCTGACACACCAGATGTAATCGCAACTGTTACTAATGACAGTGATGCTTTGCACTTAATTAATGATTGCACAATAACTGGACAGCCTCAGATGAAAAACCATGTTGATAACCTCATGAGACCCTCTTTTACTAAATGGATAAACTGAGACACAGAGAAGCTAAGTAGTTTTCCTTTGTCCTATCAGTATTATGGCCGATAATCAAGCCACAGGAATTCCCCACATTATTTACTGTTTGTATTGAGGTATTACCACCCGGGTCCCAGTCACAGACCAGGCTCCGTTGTGCTAGATGCTGTACCAAACACACAACAAGCAGATCATCTCCTGCCCCAAAGAGCTTTCAGCCTCCTAAGTATAAAAATATATGTCTACATTTCCACCCTACACAATCACACCTGCCTTTGAGGCCTTGCAGAAGTAGCTATTAGGATAGGCTCCCAATATGTCTGTTACATTATTCCAAACCATAATAACAACCTGAATTTTGTTTTTCCCTTTATCTTTCCGCCCAAAGACAGAGAAAAGAGATTGCTTCAGAAAATATGTTTTACTCTCTCCGAGCACCACAGGCAATCCATGTCCCTTCTGAGGTATGTGTAACTGTCAAACACACTTTACATTTCTACATAAACAGATGCACAGAAGCAGTAGAGAAACATCTACTGTATTTTGCCATAGCTAAGAAATAGGGCCTTGGTTTTTTTTTTTTTTTTTTTTTTGCTATTGGCAGATATTCCACTCGGATGAGGGCGACACATTTTTTTGGACTGGTATAGGATGTGAACCCTTGTCTTCATTTGCTCATTTGAAAATCTGTCAGGATGGAAAGAAGTTATTTTGTTTTCTTTCTAACACAACCCTTTGGGCTTCAGATCACCTTTTGAAGTATCTTTAACACAAGCTGTAATAAACATTCACGAAGTATCTGCATTGGTTTAGGAAGATCCCACAGAAACAGATGCACATAAAGATCCTCTTAAAACAGGTTAATTTTCCTTTCAAGGCCTGGTACTCTGTGGAAGGAGTAAATTGCAGCCACAAATGTGTATTCAAAAGGCAGCCATGTCTTCCATGAAAGATTCTTCCTTTTGGAAGGAAGAGGGAGAAAAATTATTCTCCTTAACATCTGACAATAGGACAGGAAACAATGGGATTAAATTGCAGCAAAGGGAGGTTTAGGTTGGACATTAGGAAAAACTTTCTGTCAGAGTGGTTAAGCACTGGAATAAATTGACTAGGGAAACTGTGGAATCTCCATTGCTGGAGATTTTTAAGAAGAGGCTAGACAAACGTCTGTCAGGGATGGTGTATATGATGCTTGGTCCTGCCATGAGGACAGAGGACTGGACTTGATGATCTCACAAGGTGCCTTCCAGTTCAAGTACGCTATAGGTGTGTCTAGACTACAGGGTTTTTTCGAATAAAGTGGCCTTTCATCGAAAAAACTTCCCCTGCGTCTAGACTGCTGCCGCGTTCTTTCGAAAGTAAATTGAAAGAACGCAGCAGTTTTTTCGACTGAGGAAAACCTCGTTTTACGAGGAATGATGCCTTTTTTCTAAACTGCTCGAAAAAAGGAGCTATGTCATGCAAACTGTGCTTTTTCGAAAGAGAGCATCCAGACTGCCTGGGTGCTCTCTTTCGAAAAAGCGACTTGCTTTTTCGAAAGTACCGGTTGTAGTCTAGATGCTCTTTTTTGAAAGAGGCTTTTTCGAAAGTATCTTTTGAAAAAGCCTCTTTCGAAAGGCTTGCAGGCTAGACGTAGCCAATGATTCTATCATGATACCTCACTCAGGCTATGTCTCGACTACGTAGAATTTAAAAATAAATAAATGGAGATACACCTATCTCCTAGAGCTGGAAGGGACCTTGAACGGTCATGGAGTCCAGTCCCCTGCCTCCACAGCAGGAACAAGTACCATCTCTGACAGATTTGCCCCAGATCTCTAAACAGTCTCCCCCCAAGGACTGAACTCACAACCCTGGGTTTAAGAGGCTAATGCTCAAAGGACTGAGCTATCCTTCCACCTGTGGGAATTTTCATATCATCTTCCAATCTCAGTTTTAAAAGAGGATTTTTTGAAAGTGAAAGTAGTCTGGACACATTTATTTTTTCAGGAAAAAAAAATCTTTTTCGAAAAAAATCGTTCTTCCTTAAAAAAGGAGGTTTACATGTTTTTTTCGAAAAAGGGGTTTTTCCTTGAAAAAACCACGTCCAGACTACTTTCACATTTGAAAGATCCTATTTCAAAAGTGAGAACGGAAGAAGAATTCTCAAGGAATTTGCATATCCTCTTTTGAAAAAAACCATAGTTTAGACATGCCCTCAGAGACTTAGAGCTTACCCAAATGTATGCCTAGTGAAGGCCCCAATTAATGAAATGCATCAAGAGCCAAATGCAGCAGTAAAAGAAATAGAAATATATTACATGGCAAAGCCACGTGGGCAGGCCCTGCTCTTCAGAACACGAAAGGGATGAGTGGAACTGAAGGAGGTCAGGTTTCAGGATTGGATTTAGTCCGGTGGGGCTCCACGCAGCTCCTAAATACAAGCTGAACCTGGTTGCTACCAAATGAACTAGAGTCCTAGCATGGAACACTGGCCTCTTTGCATGTGCAAAACAGAGCTATCGCCTACAACTCTGGACCAAAGGGGATTATTCCCCCTTTGGGAATGGATCACGGAGGATGGTAGCTCTTTTAATAATGGAAGGGATGGGAGGAAACATCCAAGCTCTCCAAAGTGAGAGGCCTTTTGAAGAGGCCTGCGAAGCGGCAGTGGTTGCTCAGTCTTGTCATTTATTTTTTCCGTGACACACAGTTGGCGAATCTCTCGTCCCAATCTCCCTTCTCCATATGTTTGCACAAGATAGCGGCATGCCTCATGAAGGCAGATACCATCAGCTGAGCAAGAAGCAGCGGATTTGGAGAACACATCACGGGCTTGGTCTGTTTCTTTGATGCAATTTACCGTGTGTTGTGGGGGATGGGGATGGAGGGTGTCAAAAAATTCTGTCTTCACAGTGGATGTGACAGGAATATAAATCTGACAAGCACACAGAGCAAGAAACAAGTCCAAAGCCCTGCTTAGTCACATCAAGCTTTTTTTGCACTTCTGGCTCCTTATTGCTTGCTTGGGATGTCCTAGTACTCTAGGACTGAGCAGAAAAAGTTCTGCTCGCTGTGCCTGAGCATCCTCTCATTGTCCATGTCATTGAAATTCTTCCATTGATTAGGCCAGTCCTCTATTCGTAAGACAGCAGATGTGAGGCTCAGGAAGAGAAGGGCTGGAGGGAAGGCAGGGGCAATACATTCAGAAGAGCAAGGCTGGTCCCTGTGGCCTTGCCCCGTAAGATATTTCCATTGCTGCAGCATTTGGCAAGATGGCTGTTAATTAGTGCCTTCCCTAGGCATACAATGGGCAATCTCCTATATGCCCGAGTGAGGTCTCATCATTCTTGGAAGAGATGGCTGCCTTTTTAATTCACACTTGTGGCTACAATGCACACCATCCATAGATACCTGGCCAGGAAAATGAAGATTAAGCAGCCAACTCTTTTAAGAGGATGAGTGTGTACCCCAAAGCCAAGTCCCTCCAATCTTAGATTATACTATGGGCCCCGTTGCCATAGTAGCTGAGCAGTCTTTAAGAAGATGAGAATGGCCGTACTGAGTCAGACCAATGGTCCATGCAGCCCAGTATCCTGTCTTCCAACAGTGGCCAATACCAGATGCCCCGGAGGAAAGGAACACAACAGGTAATCCTCACATGATCCCTCCCCTGTCACCCACCTCCAGAGAAACAGAGGCTAGGGACACCATTTCCAGCCCATCCTGGCTAATAGCCATCGATGGACCGAACCTCCATGAATCTATCTAGCTCCTTTTTGAACCCTGTTAAAGTCCTAGCCTTCACCACATCCTCTGGCAAGGAGTTCCACAGGTTGACTGTGTGCCGAGTGAAGAAAACTGTGTTTGATGTGTTCATCCTCACAGCACTCCTGTGAGGAAAGGAAATACCTGCCAGTATTTTATGGGTAGGGAGCTGAGGTGGAGAAAGTCAAAGTGAAAGAGTAGTGATAGAAATGTAGCCGTGTTAGTCTGGTGTAGCTGAAACAAAATACAGGACTATGTAGCACTTTAAAGACTAACAAGATGGTTTATTAAATGATGAGCTTTCGTGGGCCAGACCACTTCCTCAGATCAAAAAATGATCTGAGGAAGTGGGTCTGGCCCACAAAAGCTCATCATCTAATAAACCATCTTGTTAGTCTTTAAAGTGAAAGAGGGTTTCTAAGGCAGAGAACTGAACAGTGGAACCCCTCAATACAGGCGAACTAGGCGGTTGCCTAGGGCTCCAAGATAAACGATCACTGAGGGCTTTGGAGGTGGGGGCACTGATTGCCTAGGGCGCCAGTTGCCAGCAGCTCGTTTAGGGCCGCTCCTGGAACCGAACACTTGTCTCCCACCTCCCAGGCTAGTACCCTGACCCCTGACCCTTATGTCCTATCCTATTGCAGTAATTTTCACCCAGAACCTCAACTGATGTAGCTCACCACAGCATCCTGTGGCGATATGGCAGTTTACACCAGTTGAGTTTGGACCCATGCCTTGACGTAGATACAGAGCATCTACTGGACCTGAAAAAAACAGCAGGAAAGGTAGGCCACTGAAGATTATTAAATAAATCTGTACATTCCGCTGCATAATTGAAATGAATAACACACTTTTCTTCCCAGTAAAGACTTGTTTAACACTTAATATAGTTCAC